GTTATTTTAAATAGCTCTTCTAAAGTGAACTTTAGAAAACAATATAGTAGGGCTGGGGTTGTGGCTCAGTAGTAGAGTGCTTGCCTAGCATGTGCAAGGTCCTCGGTACAATCCTCAGCACCATATAAAAATAAATAAAATCAAGGTATTGCATCGAACTAAAAAATAAAATTTATAAAAAGCTAAAAAAATACAGTGGAGATAACCCTTGAGATTATAAATAGCCACAGGATTTTTTTTTTAAACACAACTGTTCCAATGTTATGTGAATAGTCCTTATAACTGACAGTTACAGAAGAGGAGAATATGAGACAGAAGCAACATTTTAAGAGATAATGGTCAAGAATTTTCTAAAACTGATGAAAGACATGAGGCCACATATTCAAACCTAAGCAAAATAAAGACAAAACCACACATAGGCCCACCTTTAAAACTCCAGAAAAAAGAAAGACACATTCCTTCCAAAGACAGAAGACTTAGCAAACTCAAGGACAAAAGCCACCTATAACTAAACAGCATCATTAAAATGCTGAATGAGAATAACTGCCAACCTAGAATCTATACTCAGCAAAAACATCTTTTAACAAGGACAGTGAATAATGCATTTTCAGATGAATAAAAACTGAATTGATTCCTTGGCAGCAGATTCACAACTAAACAACTTTTACTGTGTCCTCTCTCCGGAAAAGAACGAACAGGAACAACAGCAGAAAGAAGAGATGGAGAATTTCAACAGTCATACAAACCTGACCTAACTTGAAAACCCAACAACTTGACAAACAACTCCAAAATGCACACTATTTTCAAGTGCACATCAAATAGTTCCTAGAACTGATCATATGGTGAACCATAAATGAGTCTCAACAAATTTCAGCAGATAAAAATCTTATAGTTCTCTGACCACAATGGACATGAGCTAAAAAATTGACAACAAAAATATGGCCGGAAAATCCCCCAAATGTGAATAAATTAAGACAGTTCTATATAGCCATAGGCCAAAAAGATGGAAATTAAAACAAGGTTTTTAACTGAATGCTCCAAATCAGACTATGACAATGCAGCCACAACAGTGCGTGGAGTAGGGAGTCGTTTATAGCTTTGAACACCTGACTTAGAAAAGAGGCTGAAAGTCAGTGATTTCAATATTCATATCATAATGGCAGGAAGAGAAGAGCAGATTATGCCCAAAAGAAATGAGGAAGTAATAAAGAGCAAAAAAATCAATGAGAGGAAAATGAGTAGGAGATCTATTTGAAAATCTATAGACATACCATTAACAGGAAGGCAGGAAGCAATGTCACTGCAGATCCAGGGTGATCAACAGTCCTGGTTTTTGGCACTAAAGACTATGTACTAGGAAACCCTTCATTTCCTGGCAAACAGAACAGTTGGTTACCCAGATCCACCAGACCTGGTGCTAAGAGGGTGCTGAAAACAGTGTTAGGCCAACATGCTTGACAACTGAGATGAAGCGGACAGATTCTCTGGAAAGCACAAGTTATCCAGGGAGACACAAGGAGACACAAACAGAACTTGAATCAATTTTTTGGCACTTCATACAAAGAAGACCCCAGGACCAAATGCCTTTGCCAGTCAAAATTTCTAAACATTTAAAGAAAACAAATTAACACAAATATTATAAAAACTGAGAGAACCCTCCCCCCCCCAAAAAAAGAAAGCACTCCTCAGTGTGCCCTGTGCGGTGAGGATAACCTCAGTGCTAGAGCCTGACAAGGACATTACAAAAAGGGAAAATGCTGGTCAGTCTCTCCCATGAGAAAACCTAGGACTCAAACCTCTTCTAAAAGGACCTGAGAGTAAAATTTTTGTCCTTGTAGGTCATTTGATCTCTGTGACAACTCAGCTCTGTCACTGTGATGCAGAAGTAGCTACAGGCACAACATGAATGTGTGAGCATGGCTGAGCGTCTAACAAGACTTTGGGACCAATAAACGGACAAATGGTCAAAACAATATTAGCTAATTTAACCCAGTGGTATATAAAATAGTTATTCTAGGAATTCAAAGTCATCTCAATGATAAAAAATCATCACATTAACAGAATGAAGAAGAAAAAACATTGGGTCATTTCAGCAAATCTAGAAAAATTGGTAAAATTCAAACAGTTTTTACAATTTTTTTTTTTTTTGGTACTAGGGATCAAACCCAAAGGCGCTTTACCACTGAGCCACATCCAAGCCCTTTACATTTTTTATTTTGAGTCAGGGTCTCTCTATGTTGCTGAGGCTGGCCCTAAACTTGCAATACTCCTGCCTCAGGGTCCCAAGTAACTGATATTACAGGTGTGCACCACCATGCCCAGTTACTAAGTAAACTAAGACTGGAAGGGAACTTTCTGAATTTGATGAGAGATATCTATAAAAACATCAAACAAAAACTCCTATACCCCAAAGGAAACAACATATCATGTGGTGAAATATTTGAAGCAGCTGAGGAGAGAATGGTGTCTGCCCTATCACCACTCACACTGTGCTGGAGATCTAGTGCAACGAGGCTTTCTAAAAATATAAAGATTATAAAATAAAAAATAAAAGTTATTACTTGCAGATGACAAGACTGGGTAAGTCTGAAAGTACAAGCTTATTAATTAAAATTAATGAATTTATCAATCATGGGATATAACATCAGCATACAAAATCAATCACATATCTATGCTAGCAATGCCTAATTGGAATAGGAATTTTAAAAAATCAATGCACTTCATGAACATAAAAACTAGGGAGAGGGAGCCAGGTGCAGTGGCACACCTGTAATCCCAGTAGCTCGAGAAACTGAGGCAGGAGGATGGTGAGTTCAAAGCTAGTCTCAGCAGCTTATCAAGGCCTTATGCAACTCAGTGAGACCCTGACTCTAATAATTAAAAACAGACTGTGGATGTGGCTCAGTGACTAAGCACCCCTGGGTTCAATCTCTGGGACCAAAAAAAAAAAAAAAAAGAAACTCCAAAAAACTGGAGAGTGAAAAGAATGGAAGAAAACGTTTGCAAATTATATAGTTGATAAGGATTTAATATCCAGATTATTTAAAGAACTCCTGCAACTTAGCAGAAGGACAAACAGCCTCATTTAAAAATGGATAAAAGACTTGAATAGACATTTAAATGACCAATAAGCAAATGAAAAACATCATTGGTCATTGCAGAATGCAAATCAAACCACACTGAAATATCACTTCATACTAACCAAAACCTCAAAGCCCAAACTGAAAGAAAGTAGAGAAATTGGAACCCTCATGGGTTGCTGGTGGGAATGTGAAGGGATACAGCTGCTGTAGAGAACTGTCTAGTGGGTCCTCAAAGAGGAACGTTTAGGATTACAAGACCCAGCGATTCCACTTAGTCATACAGAACTGCAAAGAGGAACTCAGATACTTGTGAGCTGGTGTTCATAGTGGCATTATTGACTGCAGCCAAAAGGTGGAAACAACCCAATCATCTATCAAGAAATGAATGGATAAACAGCATGTGTTACTCCCCAAGGCTTTAACTTTCTGTATTTTCTGGTAAACTCTGACATCTGGGGCCTTGCTAACAAAGGAGCAGCTGCCCCTCCTGGGCTTGGCCAAATCCTAGAAAGTCCCATTTTCATATGAAAACTACCCCATCCCAGTGCACACCCAGACTACCTCCTTTATGGAGCTCTTACCCTCAGGGCTGCCACTCTCTAAGGCCAGGTTCCTGCCCCATTGCTCCAGAACTCTCTTTAACCAGCCAAGGCTAACCTGCCAGCTTCCTTTCCTGTGGAAACCACAAAAAAGGCTCCTTTCCACATCTCTCCTCACCCCTCTGCCTCCTGACTCGGGTGCTTCCCCAGGTGGCCTTGTGTAGCATGCTATGCCTCCTGTTTCTAAATCTCTTCCTTCACATCAGTCATCTCAAATTACTTTTAAAATATATAGAGAAATGTAGAGACGACCCAAGATAATATTATTCCTATAATAGTAATTAAGACAATATGATATTGGACTACGACAGAAAATCTATAAACAAAATAAATACTTGCTACGAGGAAAATCCACAGACTCTTTATGCTTTTTTAAAATTTGGAAATAATTTCAAACTTTCCAAGAAATTTTTGAATATGATTTGTACACAACACCTGTATGCCCTTAAGGGCTGAATTGTGTCGTCCATCTCCCATTCACACGTTGGAGCCCTAACCCCGCAGTCTCAGCTTGCAACCATATTCAGAGACAAAGCCGTAAGGAGGAAATCAACAAGAGGTCACTAGGGTCGCCCTAATGCAGCACGACTGGTGCCAGGACAAGAGCAGGTCCTAACACAGGGGCCGGGGACAAGCCAACCAGAGAGGCCTGGGAAGAAACCAGCCCGCGCTGGCCAGCTGGGTGCCTTCAAGCTGGCTCCGTGCTTCGTGGCCACAGCGACCGCGGGAGGACAGCGAGGTCAGCAAGAACGGTCCTGGTGGCCGTCCGAGCGTGACCTAAGACCTCAAAGCGGGACAGCGCGGATGCAGCTGGGGCGCGCGGCCCACATGGGGCCCCCGCAAGCCCGGAGGCGGGGACACGGCGGTGGCCGCTGAGGACGCCACTAACAGAAGTGGGGCAGGGCGGGGACGCGGGCGGCTTCACTGTGCGGCGCAGGGGCCCCGGGTGACAGCGGGGTGCTGGAGGGCAACGGCGCTCGGCGGGGGACACGCGTGACAACGAGCAGGAACCGGGCGCTAGGAGCCTCGCCTCTGCCCCACGAGGCTGCGCTTCGGTTGTAGCAGACGAAGACTCCGCAGCTCAGAGACGGGAACTCGCTGCCCCAGGCCACACGGCCCCACGCAGCTCGCTGTGACCGGGCCTCACCTGACGAGAAAGCCCACGTAACAGAAACCCGCGGCCAGGATGCCGGTCGCCCGGTTTCCACTTCCCCGGGAACGGAACTTCCGGTGGAAGTTCTGTAGGAGGCGGATCCGCCACCCTGGCCCCGCCCCCTTCGCCTCGCGCTGCCCCCATTCGACCAATCGCGGCTCTCTTTCTTATCAGGGCGGAGGCCCACTGCCCAATCGGCGAGGGTGCTCGTCGCTTGGTAACCGCGTCGCGAAGACGCGGGGTGGGCCGGGCCTCTGATAGCCAGGGTCCGCGCACTGGTGTGGGCCCCGCTAGGCGGAGCCGGGAGCAGGGCCGAGGTAAGGCCGCGAGCCACGGCGCACGGTCCCCGCGTGCATTCGGGTGGCGACGCGCGAGCCCTGGGGCCGAGGAGGAGCCGGGCGGGCGCCCGAGCGTCTCATGGCCGAGACTGCCCAGCGCCGCTGCCCACTGGGACGCAGGTTGTGGTTCGTGTGCCCAGCACGTCCACGGAGCGGCCGCCTGTGCCGGGCACGTCGTAGGCTCTGAGCTGCTGCCCACAGGGCGGTCCCTGCTCCCCTAGAGCTCCGCAACTTTTAGGAAAGAGACAGTGAACCGCGTGGAAGGTGATGGCATCTTCCCGGGATCTCGAGGATCTGACCGGGATCGTGTGCGGAAATGCCTCAGATCGCTCCAGTTTTACAAAACGTTTCGTGCCCCGTGTTCATTCACGCCCCACAGCACACTTGAATACCATTAACTCCCGCTTATAGATGAGGACTTGGAGTCTGTGGGGTTTGTCCAGATCACACAACTAGAAAACCTCAAAGCCAAAATACAAACGCGTTTCTGCATAGTGGCAAATCTCTGCTCTTCCCCACTCTTCCCCTTGGACCACACATAGCCACACATAGCCATCCCTGCCCAATCTCGCTCATTTTGTCTGGAAGCACTTTGTGAAATGTAGTGTGATTCTGGTCTTAGTGAAGATAGTTGTCCCTATTATCCCTCCCCTCCCTTTCTCTCCTTTCCTGAAAATCTTAGCTTTGAGGACATCTTGATGCATTAAGCAGGCTCCTACATCACTTTGGAGACTTCATAGTGTTTTTAAAAATTGCATTAGTAATCCTTAAGGGGTAAGCTTACAGAAATGGCATAAATAAATTCTATTTGTACACTCTATGGTGCCTTTATCCTTATTTTATCCATTACCTTCAATTCAGCAAATGTTTATTCAGGGAAGGTCTGGGGATTGGAAAGCCAGCCAGGCACGAGTGGTCATCTGTGAATATATTTGCCTCCATCCAACCTTGTCTTTGAGGACAAGGATTCTGTTTTAGTTATATAATGCTTTCCCTTTCCCCTCCACATTCAGTTTAATATTTGGTTTTTGATAGGTGTTTGTAGATAATATGTCAAGAAATATTTACTTGAGAACTTAAATTTTGTTCTCCAATTTTCTCTGCCTTTTTCCTGCCCCTTTCCAGCCATTCACTGCTTCCCTGTGGACTGCGATTTCTTCAGCACTCATGCTGTGACCTCTGCGGCTGACCAGCACCTAGAGACAGAGCCAGCTCTGTGAGAATGTTCAGTAGAATGGTCCCTGTCCAGCCCAGAACTGTGGTCAGATGCCAGTGGCCACTCACAAGGCCACTGCTTTAGTGAATCTTCTTTACAGGTGTGTATTGAGTGACTGTATGAAGTTAGTACATGCTGAGAGTCAAGAGGGTTTCCTGGATGTCTCCTTCCCCTTCCAGGATTGAAAACTAAGCTGCATAATGAATAGGAGAAATGGTGAGAAAAGAAATCAACCATAATTTTCTTTCTTTATATGCTACAAATGGTCTTTTTGTGAAGTGTGTCTATCAAAAAAATACTCCTTATCTAGGCTTGCACAATTTTGTTGATTATATTACTTAACATTCTATTTAGATATTAATTCACTTTGATGCCCTCGCTATTTGGAAGAGGGGTGTATTTGAGGAAATTGTGATTAAAGAACATGAATATAATATATTTCTGGTACTAAAGGCCTTCTTCTTTTTTTTTTTTTTGGTACGGAGGATTGAACTCAGGGGTGCTTAACCACTGAGTCATACTCCCAGCCCTTTTTTATATTTTTATATTTATAGATAGGGTCTCACTGAGTGGCACTAGAGCTTCTGGGATTACAGGCATGCGCCACTGTGCCTGACACATCCCACCCCTGTTTATGTTTTATTTTGAGATAGGGTCTCACTAAGCTATGCAGGGTCTCACTAAGTTGCTGAGGCTGGCTTTGAACTAGCGATCCTCCTGCCTCAGCCTTCAGGGATTACAGATATGTGCCACTGTGCTGGGCAAAAGGCTTCACTTTTAACTTCTCTTTCTCTTGGTTTTGACCTCTGACTTTTATTTTGTTTACTTGTTTCAGGTGCCATCTGTTATTTTTCTCTCCAACTATTTGTCTTTAGTTTGTATAATGTTGAGCACTTACAATGTTGTTGGCCTGGGTTGGGGTCCACATGCTTTTTTTTTTGCTTACCTTCATAACCTGCCTGTGTAAAAGGAGTTGCTTTTCCCAATTTCAGGGACACGGGTTAAAGGACTTTATAAAGCTGATAAATGCTAGAACATGGCCTTTATTCCAGGCTGCCTGATAATAGGACCTGTGTTCTTGACTAGTACTCTACCACTCTCCAGTGTTTGTATACTCCCCGAATCCTGCCAAGACTTGGACTTGTAAGAATACCTGCAATGTGGTAAAATAGAAACATGGAAATCAGGATCACGAAAAAAGGCACACAGAGTGGGAAAATAACATTAGGAGAGAAGAGAAGGCATAGATCGTCGGAGATAAGGAGTAGAGTTGGACTGCAAATTTATCTGCACATTTTGTCAACCCAAGGGAAAAAAAGAAGGAAGTTGCATCGTTTTGTACAAGTAAACAAGACTTTTTGGTTTTTTTTTTTTTGGTTTTGATTTTGGTACTGGGGATTGAACTCGGGCACTCGACCACTAAGCCACATCCCCAGCCCTATTTTGTACTTTATTTAGAGACAGGGTCTCATTGAGTTGCTTAGTGTCTTACTTAGGCTGGCTTTGAACTTTCGATCCTCCTAAACAAAACCTTGTATTTCCTCCTGGAAAATAACAGTTCTGTGTTACCTAGATCAAAGAGAACTTTCTAATGGGGCTCATCTCAGAGACTGGGAAGGGCTTGGGTTACAGGTGGGTGAGGTTAAGTGGAGGCTTAGCGTTCCACTATCAGGGAGCGTGTGGGCTACTGTGTTGGAATTGAATACTGAAATTAAAGATTCCTGAATAATCGTTTCCAGTAACACCCTCTGATTGCCTCCACTGTCGGACTTTGTGAACAGTGTTATCCTGTCCCCTTGGTTGGTTCGGTCCTTTACTTGTACATTTCCTTAGCAGTGATTCATTGAGCACTTGCCCACTGCCAGGCCCCGTCTAGGCACTGAGGTGCTGCAGCAGTGGTCACCTCCCTCTCTTGGCACTCGGGGCGCCTCTGCCTGTCAGCACCTCCTGCAGGGGTGTTCTGGACTGCTTTGTTCAATATCCTGAGATGACACTTAGCATCCTATTTTTTTTTTTTTTGTACCAGGGATTGAGCCTTAACCATGAGCCATATCCCCACCCTTTTTATTTTTTTTATTTTGAGACAGGGGTTTGCTAAGTTGCTTAGGACTTCACTAAGTTGCTGGGGCAATACTCCTGCCTCAGCCTCCCAAACCACTGGAATTACAGGCATGCACCAATGCGCCCGGCAAAACTTAGTACCTACACAGCAACAGTCTGCCTGACATATGTCCTGTGCTCTGGTTTATCTTTCTGTACATTCCCAGGACCTGAAAAGAGGAACAGCAACCAAACAGTGAAAGCTTACTGTGTGCCAGGCACTTTAGGAATGTGAGCTGGAGTCCTTTCCTGGCTTTTAATAGACTTAAACTTTTTTTCGGGGGGGGGTCACTTGCTCTGAGTAAAGCAAAGATAGTTAAATCACATACAAGTGTGTATTCAATCTCAGAGTTTATAGATTTACAGATGCACACGTGTGGACATGTGGTCCCTAGATTCCAGGTTAAGAATTCTTGTTTTAAGGAGAAATGTTATTTCCATTTTGCAAATGAGGAAACTGGTTCAGGGAGAGGTTATTTAACTTTCAAGTTTGCACAGTAGATAGCAGAGCCAGATTGACCCCAAGTCTGCTTGACTCCAAGTCCTTTGTTTTTCCCACTGTCCCAAAGCACAGACACTCAGTGAATGACCCAGGGATACATGGAAGCGAACGGAAGTCTTAGAGGGAGCTTCATAATATGTGTCCCCAGATATGACAGACCATCCATTTGACAGTGGAATAGACGAGGAGAGGTTTTTCTCAAGTGTTTGGTTTTAACTGCCAAGATCTTTTGTGTTGCTTATAGTTTTTTTCAATGTAGTCAAGTGCTAATCCCCAACTACCTCCCCCATGCTACCAGTTCCAATAATTTTTGCTTTTGGTGCCATCTCTGTTTGGCTGCGCACATTTTTTACTCTTGTGTTGAATTGTGTTTTCTCTGGATGCCAAGGCAGATGGATGGCACTTTTGTTATGATTCTGATATAAATAGCATCTGTTAAAAGCTGGACATCAATACTTCTTTGGCAAATAAACAAATACATCAGGGGAAGAGCCTTCTAATTGTGTTTTGGCCTGTGGTGAAGAAGTGTATCTGAAAATCTGTGACTTTGTGCTTATTTGGAGGGTACTGCTTTGTTGTTGTTGTTGTTGTTTTGTTTTGTTTAGTTTTTTTTTTTTTGGTGGTACTGGGGATTGAACCCAGGGGCACTTAACTAGTGAGCCACCCCAGCCCTTTTAATAAATAAATTAATTTTTTTTGAGGGGTACCAGGATTGAACTCAAGGGCACTCAGCCACTGAGCCACATCCCCAGCTCTATTTTGTATTTTATTTAGAGACAGGGTCTCATTGAGTTGCTTAGTGCCTCACTGTTACCAAGGCTGCCTTTGAATTCACAATCCTTCTGTCTCAGCCTCCTGGGCTGCTGGGATTACAGGGGTAGCAGTGCTTACGCTGCAGACCTTATGTCCAAGTGATGAACTGCAGCACCTTTGATGTTTTCCCCCTTTATTAAATAAAACAGCAAACACACCTGGGGCCTTGGCTCTCTGCAGAGGCTTGATAGACTTTTTGAAGGCGGTTGGGGAGGCTTCATGGAGGAAGGGGCTATACCCTCAGTCTTGAAAGATGAATTGAAGTGTGCCAGGTGGACAAGGCTGAAGAACATTCTAGCAAAAGCATGAACTGGAACTTTGGAGGGAAGAACTTGATGGGCAGTTGGAGCACTGTGTGGAAACAGCCTGTGTGGAGGGAGTGGCCTGGGGCAGTCACCCTGGCCAGGTTGTTAGTCATGTCAGTGGCCCACCCACAGGTAACTGTTGGAGTTTCGGCTTGTAGATTCTGGAGAAGTATTGCAGTTAAAAAAAAAAAATATATATATATATATAAAACAATTTTAGTTTCATCTACAAGTTACAAAGTTAGAGCAGGAGTTGCTGTGCACTCCCAGCTTGAACTCACGATCCCATCCTGCAGAATGACCATGGCCTGGTGATCAAAACCGATTTAACGAGAGTCAGTGCCAATTAAACTGAAGGCTTTGTTCGGATTTTACCAGGTTTTGTGCACAACCTTTTCCAGGTGCAGTCCTAGATGCTTTTGCACGTGTATAATTTGCATCCTGTATTTTTAAGCAGGGGAATAATGTATTTGTGCATGAGGAAGATGAGCCCTGGTGAAGAGGCGGATGGGGCAGAGGAAGAGGGAGAGCTGGGAGGGATTGGAAAGGCTCTTTCTGTGGGGAAGATGGACAGTGGCATCAGGGACGCAGAGGGCAGGGAGTGTTCTCCAGATCAGAGGGAGACGGCCCACTGGCTGGCGGAAAAGAGAGCATTTCTGTCTCGGCCGCCAGGCTTCAGGAGGGGAAGCTTCACTGTGTCTCTTGGAACTCTGAATTTGTCACCAGCGTCAGATCTGGGAGGCAATGATAGCATAAATCAGCTCAGCTCTAGAATTCTTGATGGAATTTCAAGTCCAGCAGGAGCCAGGCCTTGGTCAGTGACTCATCCACAGGTGCATCTTGCAAGCTGGACCAAGGGGCAACAGTGTGCGCGCGAGAGGCTGGCCCTGGCGGCTGTCCAGGGAGGCTCCTCAGGGAAGTGGCACTGGAGACAGTGTCCTCAAGGAACGTGTCAGCCATACAGATTCTTAGGTGGCATCCCACCCCAGCCAGAGGTGGAGTATAGACGGGCAGCAGGCTGCTTCTACCCAGACCTCAGGTGCCTCTGAGGCCCCTACATAGGATGGGAGGAGTGTGGTGGGGAGGGAGGGGATGGGGGGCCAGGAAGAGGTTACAATCCCTGGATACTTAAAGAGTCTGCATGGGAAGGAGAAGGAGCTCCTATAGGCCAGTGTGGCAGAGGCCTGGGGACTCCAGGCGGGAGGCAGCAGGAGGAATAGCAGGGCTCAGGCTGCATCTGACAACTGGAATGTTCTAAGCAACAAAGTAACATGAGGTGACCCACATTGGGAGTGATTTTTTTTTTTGGTTGTTTTTGAGGAAGAGAGTTGGCAGGAACTGTGTCGTGTTGAGTGAGTCGGGGTGCTGAGGCTTAGGAGGAGGAGCGTGCTCAGGTGGTGCTCACCTGGGGTCCCTCCAGGTGGGAGTCCTAGGTTGAGTGTGACTTTCTCGCAGAAGGTTTGCCTGAGGTCTCCAGGCGGGTCTCCAGTAGCCTCCAAACCCTGTGAGATCTGGCAAACCCAGAGGCCCCATCCCGGTGGCTTGATGAGCTAACCAAGGAAGTCCGTCCGTCTGCCAATCTGTGCTAACCCCATTGCTCTTTTATTTTCAGAACTCTCAAATTCAAAAATATTTTAACTTGAAGGAAATGAAAAGGAATGGCAACCATATCAAAGCCATCAAAGCCAATAGCACCAAATCGTGCAGCACCAAAGCCAGGTGAGCTGCTTCTGACCCCGCCACGTGCTGCCCAGGGGGCTCACGCAGAGTGCCGAAGGGAGAGGTGCCTTCCTGTTGGTAATGCCGTGTTTCCCCTTCCTTCTGGTCTGCCTCAGTCAACACCGTCGCTAAACAATGACTTTTGTGCCAAGACTGTCTGGAACCTTCCTGTCTGTCATCTGGGCTGGCACGAATGGCCTTACCTTGGTGCTCAGTGACCGCCAGGATGAGATGACCACAGGAGTTAGAAAGCAGAGTCAGCCTGCTTCATGGGGGTGTGGGGGACCCAAGGGCGGCTGGCAGGGGGCTTTCTCATCTCCCAGTTCCCACTTCTCACTATAGGTGGCAGCAGCAGCAAAGGCTTCAGTTCCTCCGGCGGAAGCCAGGAGGCCCTGGAAACTTTCCTCTGCTGGATCTGAGACTCCCAGGGACTTGGCTGGACTATAAATAGGCGTGGGAACCTCCCCGTCTGCGGCAGGGCTGGGTGCTGCCTGAGGTGCACCGTTCCCAGCTGGGAGTCGCTGCTGGAGGCTGACCTGGGGTCAGTGCTGGTGACCACTGGGCTTCCCTCCCGTGGCCGTGTCTGTGTCTGTGGTCATTGTAAATGTGGGGAGCCTGGAGGTAGGCATTCGGTGATAGTGGGCTTCTGAGACAGGTCCCCAAATGACATTTTTATGCCCACAATGGAGGAAGAGTGTCACAAACCAGTCACCGTGAACTGCTTCCTCAGGCGCTGGAGCTGCCGCGGGGCTTCCGCACTAATGTGGCTCACACCGGGCACAGCTGCTCTGCTGAGCCCCGGGCAGCACGCGCTGGTCTTTGCAGGACGGAGTGGGTGCCACACACATACACAGTCCTGGTCCCTGTGCTCATGACATTGAAGGACTAACGGGAAGAGGGACACTGAACAATCGTAAGGTCACAGGTGTCAACTAAGGAGACTTCTGGACACTGGTCCCTGTGCTCAGTAGAGGGGGAATGTGAGGTTCGTGCATGGGGTGGACCCTGCCGTCGTGGTTGGGAGGAGAGGGGTGATCTTACGTGAGATCCAGGTGTGGGAGGATGTGAGAGTGCTCTGGGGAGGCTGGGAGCGTGTGCAGCGTGTGTGGTGTGCTGAGGTGTGGGTGTGCTTGGTTAGTGTGTTAGGAGTGTGTGGTGTGTGGGGAGTGTTGTGTGTGTGCTGAGCATGGTGAGTGTGCGTGGGTGTGGGTGTGTGTTGGGAGGAAAGTGCTGGCCAAGTGACAGGGTTGTGAAGCCGCCAGTGCTTTGGGGCTGGGGCTTCTGCCGAGTGCCCTGGGGCTGGGGCACAGTGGCTGTTTTGTGTCATGGAGCTCATAGTCTAGTTTACAGTGTCACTCCAGATGGTGGCAGGTACGGCACAGAGGAAGCAGGTGCAGGCCCGTCCCCCCGAGGCCTGAGGGGAGTCCTTGGAGAGGAGTGGGGCAGTGGCACCCACAGGGCTGCGGGAAGCCTGAGGAGAGAGGTGGGCAGGAGCCAGGTTGTGAGACGGTCCCCACTGTCCCAGGGCAGCTGTTTTGCGGTTCCTTCTCCCCACTGTGTTTCCATGATGGCATCCGTGGGAAGTCCCCAGGGGGCTGCTTCTCTAGACACGCTGTTTCTCCGTCCTCGTTATAATGACCACTTCCATCCGGGAACGCCTCAGCTTGGAGAGGTGTGTTAGATGGTGGGTTTGCTCCCTGGGTCTGCGGTGTGCCTCGTAGCGTGTGGGTGGACTCGAGAGCCTCCCTGCCAGAGGCCTCTGTGAGGATGAGGCTGGGGGGAGGGGGGAGGCTGCACAGGGTCTGGGGAGACCCTGGTGGAGGAGGCTGTGGCTCAGCCTGTGGGGCTGCCGGTGTGGAGGCGGGTCAGTTTGTAACCAGGATGTTTCTGCTAGATTGAACCCAGAGGACTGGCTGAATTGTTTTTTATGATACCCTATCATTTGGAATCTATTTGCAAATCAGCTTGCATTCTTGCAATTCCTACGTGTGGAGCAGGAGACAGGGCTGGCCGGGGCAGCCTGCCTGAGAGGTTAGGCCGGGAGGGACTGGATGCGAGACCACCTTCAGCTGTTGATGCCAAGAGCCCTGGAATCCTAATATTTGACAAGAAATTTATGTGGATGACTTGTTTTTAATTTTGTTGTGTTCTTTTGAGTAAGTTGAAGAGTTATTAGACATTTTGCAACCTCAGGTTATTCTTCCTGTAGATGGATACAGGGATTGTCTTATTTCCCTTCAAATATATATAGACTTCATCGTTCTTATCTCTTCATATTAGGATGCACACAGATCGCTCAGACATGTGTATAAAAATGTGTGTGCACACATGCACAGGCACATGTGTGCATGCACACACACACACACACCCTGGTACAATCAGGCAGAAAGCCTAGGATTAAATTCAGGGGAGTGTGGGTCCTGGCCTCACTGTTCTGAGTAAATTGACTTTTCCTTGTTTAATTCCCTTGTTTAAGTTCCCCACCTCTACAAATGTGGATGATGGTATCTAACTCAGGAGACCGTTGCAGGTCAGTGATTAAATAGGATAATACCTGTGACCAGCAAAATGCGTGCTCCATTGTGAGTTGAATCTAGCTCTGGCTTCCTGCTTGGCTTCACTGTACAGTGGGGACTGCACACCTGAGCGTCCTTACACAGAGTCCGTCAGCCTCAGGTGCTTCTCACCCAGTAGCTGCATCCACCCCAGAGGTTCGGATCTGATTGTCTGGGAGAGTGCATTTCCAAAAGGGACCAGGGGAAGCTACAGAGCTAGCTCAGGGCCCCACTTTGAGAACTGCTGATCCATAACTGTGTGCCTATGTCAACAGCCTTTTTAAAATTAATTTTTAAGTGGAAAGTAACAGCATTTAAAAGACAATGATGTTGATGACAATACAAATTCCACCTGAGGAGTCCACCAATGGAACAGCTGTGTCCTCTCTGTTGACGAGCCGTGGAGAGCGTCTCGAGGGGGCCTTTGACTCTTGAGACGGGTTGAGGGAGGCCACAGCACACATTAGGGATGCTTTAGAGCAGCGCTGGAGTCCTGTTTAACCTTACAATGTAGTTCTTACTTTAACAGACACGGGGATTGCCCGTGTTTACAGGGTACGTAAGGATCGGATCAGGGCAGTTGGCCCGCGTCTCTTTCCTTTGTGTCTGACACTCCAGGTTCTCAGGTTAAACCTGCAGGTAGTTGTGCCAGCCTCGGTTGACCTGCTGTGCTGCGGGACGTTGGAAGTCACCACTCCTGTCCCACCGCTCCCTGTGCCTGCTCACCACCCTTTCCCGTGCGCCTGGCCAGCTCCGCCATCCCTGATTCCACTCTGCTCAGTGAGACCACCTTGTCAGCTCCCGCACAACAGTGGATTCCCTGGTCCTCGGTCAGTGCAGTTTGACCAAGGACAGGACCCAAACTCTCCTGGATCACAGCCTGGTGGCTGTGATCTTTTATACCTGAGCCAGCTGGTGAGCGGCTGCAGGGCCGGTGTGTGGCATTTCCCCCTCTGATCTTGGACCTGTCAACGTGTGTGTGGCCTGGGGTTTGCTGAAAACAGCGTTCATCGTGGAGAGAATTGTTGCTTGAAAGGTGCTTGGACCCAGACGGAGGGTTAGGGCCAGCCCCGGTGGGCTCCATTCCTACTGTCCAGATCGGCTCCTTAGAGTACCCGCACCGAGACTAAAGTCTCCCTGGCTTTTACCATCCTGCCACTGTGGGAAATGGCGCTGGAAGACCCAACAGGTCACCGGACCGTTCTCCCGCTGGAAGAGGGTTACTTCCTGCCGTGCACTCCGTGGCGTTAGGAGGAATTACTTTTCATATGATTATGATTTTTTTTCACGCTGTCTTCAACTAAGTGTTTCTTGAATTGACTCTCTTTGTATTCAAGTAATAAAGCGCACGCCAGGCAGTGCTCTTCGGGTGATTATCTCTCTCCTCAGGTGGTACGGCAAGGCACAGGCCAGGGCCCTGGCACGCCTCGTGCTCTCAGGGAGGGGTTGGTGGCTACAATAAGGAGCACGGTTCTAGGCAGCAGCAGCAGCAACCGCAGATTGCAGTCCTGGTAGGTTCGCTGTGCATGCCGGGCAGGGGAGGCGAAGGGCCAGCAGTAGTGGCCAGACACACAACCCTGGGCGCCAGTGACTGCCTGCTGCCTCTCAGGAGCTCAACTGGTTTTGTCAAAGGAGAGCCTCAGTTGTTGACGGCCACGGGAACTCCGTGTCTGGGAAGGGACTTCTGCGCCACAGGAGGGAGGCCAGTCCCCAGCTCTGGGCTCGGCCCTGGTGTGGCCCAGGGCCAAGTGTCTGCCTCCCCAGTGGGAAGGGCAGTGACTGGGTGTGGAGGGCTGCAGGGCAGGTTCTAGAAACCCCAAGCTCATTTCCTGGCGGAGACAGACCCCGGCGAATGCTCATGGAGGTCGACGTTTTATTTTTTCTTCTTAAAATTCCTCGTGGGGTCGAAGCTGATCTCCTAATTTCTTCAGCCTCGTCCCTTGCTTCAGTCACAGGGAGTTCCCGCTATTGCTGGTGTTCCTTGTGGGGGACCACGCGCCCCTTGCTTGTTGAGACCCTGGCCCCGGGGAAACCCAGCTCCCTCCTCCCCATGCGGCCAAGTGTCCAGGCAAAGCCAAACCCCAGATGGACTCAATGCTCCCTGCCAGTCACTGCTCCCCACTGCCCCCTCTTCTGCTAGGGATCTTTCACTCCTTGGCCTGCACCTTGAAGTCCTTGTCCCCAGCCTCCTTGCCGCTGGTGACCTGACTTCCTGTTTCAACAAGAAAACAGAACGAGAAGGCAACTGCCACAGGCTCCTGGGTCCTGGGCCCACCTGCTGCGGCTTCTCTGTGGTGAGTGAATGGACCGGCCAGGGTCCTAGGGAGGGCTCCTCCCTGCTGAGATGGGGGCACGTGGTCCCCTCTTTCCCCTCTCCACCGCAATCCCACGGGATCAGCAGTCCCCTCCTTTCCCTCCTGCACGCTGCTCTTGGCCTCCGTCATG